GTTGCCGAGTGTTGATTCAGAGAGAAACACTTGTTCTCAGTAGCTCCAAAATGATGGCAAACGCATGACTTTTGCTGCTGAGGTCCCGAACGTATTTCGGGGTTATTTCAGAATGTGTATCTGCTGCGTTGTTGCCCTCTAAATGACCTTTTTTCTAGTCTGCTAAGCACAACTGGATTGAGTATGATATCAATCCTTGGACTGCTCTGCTACACCAATGATAAATAGTAATAATTCCCACTTTTGGGGTATGTGAAAATGATAGCATGGATGAATGGCATCCCTGCTGCCTTTGGGAGCAGAGGACCTCAGAGGTTAGCATCAAAGCATTTGGGTCCATGACTCTCGGGTTAATGTACTCTAAATCTCTCCAAGGCAAACAAGTGAAAAAATGCCATTTGGATCTACGCATTCACAGGCATGCAGGGAGCTGTATTTCACTTTTTACGATTTTCATCAGACGCTGATTTGCAGCACTTGTTTTGGAACTTATCTGAAGGTAATAGCGTCCTCGGTTGATTAACTTTATTAGATCTTTACCCAGTGGCCTCATTCTCTGTGCCTGTAATGCCGACTGATTAGGTGGGAACTGCAGGGCACCAAATTGCAGAGAAGGATAATGATTTACATACGGGAGTGATGAGAAAATGGTATTAGAAGTTTTGAAATGTTATTAAAAATGTCAGTTGTAGACCTGGATACACATACAGCAGGTGCAGATAGAACAAGAAGAATCAGAGGAATCCTAAAGAGGCATTCATGTGTCACGGTGTGCAAACAATTTAGAAGCACAAAATCCACATTCACAGGGACAAACCCCGTGCACTTGAAAACACTGCACTTCAGCATGTGCGTTTACTGTATACACTGCCTCTCTGTGACTTGCACAGTGTGCATGTCTTTGTTAGAAGAGTGTTCATGAGTCACCACTGTCTTTACCCTAAGGCTCAGCATCCAGCCAGCTGAAGGAGGGGATGCATGTTTTATTTTTGTCTCTCTAATATGGCGTGAAGACATCATTATCTCGTAACGTTTTTTTTTCCAGAGCTTTTATTGTTTAAAATGGCACTGAATACGTGTATAACTTAAACTGTTTCATTATTAGACGTTCAATCCAGCGTGCGTCATTAGGAAAGGGTTTTGTTATTGCGAGCCTAAGCAGCGTGTGGCTGTATGAACCCTCCTCGGAGAACGAAGGATGTTATCTTTTCTGTCATGCTCATACCAGCACTGCCCATGGGGAAGAGGTGAGCATGCAAGGAACTTGGCTGATTGAGGGCACAGGGCACAGAGGCGAGCTGTGCACTGCTATGGCTGCCTGTGAATACTAAGGATGTCTCACAAGAGAATCTTTTGTCAGCGTCAGCGCCCTTTGAGAAGAGTCATAAATAGCACAGGGGGTGTGAGATCTTGTCTACATTCCTGCCATATCATCAAGATTTCCTATTTCAGTGTTTAAAACCTTTGTACTTAACAAAAACTCATACATATAATCGATAAATTATGTAAAGCTAAAAATTTTCTAACTTTCTGACACGGTGAGGGGCGATCATATTAAAAATCGCCACATTTCGAAAGAATTTCTCATGAAGTCACAGTTCAGGTGACTATAAGCCCTCAATTTTAGCTACATTTTGATACATTTTTTCACCTTTTGGCTCTGTTTGATGAAAGAGCCTTCTTCTTTTGCCTGCTCTCTTTAGGGGTTGCCACAGTGGATCATCTGCCTCCCTCACCCTCACTCCCTCTAACCCTATCCCAGCCATCCTCCTTTGTCGCATCAACCCTCTGCATGTGTTATGGTCCTGGGTGTTTGACCCACCTCTTTGAGTTTGGGGCTTTCACGTTCTTTTGGAGATTATGTATTGGAATTTCAGGAGCAGGACCAAGCATCCAAACACACTCCTTCCGGTTGTCATCTATATAGGTTCGTGCCCCACCCTCCCTGCCTCCTTGTTCTTCTTTAACTTCTTCACTTCTATTTAGTACATGGGGATCTGCCAGGCCCGGGAGCCATCGCCAGTCCTCTTCGATGCCTTCCCCAAACCGCAGCTCAATTCATGTCAAAGCATTCACTTTTACCTACTAAAACGCTGTTAAACCTAAAATGAGGACGTGGGCCCAGCTAGTGAATTTATTGTTAAATATTTTCTGTTTGTCAGTTAGTTTGCTCATTATTTATGCTGTCATCTTTGTGTTATTCCTTAGCATTTTCAGTCTTCAGTGTTTAGTTCCATTTACTTTCTCTGTTTCCTATCTTATTCATTGTTCCTGCATTCTCCATTTAGTTATGGTCCTCACTTCCTGTTTTATTTTTATAGTTTCTCATTTCTAGTGTCTTGAGTTTAATTCACTTCCCCTCCTGTGTAATTGTATTTGATTACTGTGACTCTTGACCCTCCTGTGTCCACTTCCCCATAACGACTTTGTATGTAGGTAAGTTTATTTAAATAGTGCTCTTCACAGACACAAAGGTCACAAAGTGAGACAATTAAAACACAACTAATATCAATGGAGAGCCTTTAAACCAGAATACAAATAAATAAATGAATTTAAATAAGTTTTTCAAAGACTCCACAGAGTCAGCTAAACGGAGCTGGAGTGGTAAACCGTTCCCGAGGCTTGGAGCCACAGACTGAAAAGCTTTGTCCACCCAGTTTTTTTTCTTGTGTTTACTCAAGCTCTTCCTTTGTCTTTTGTCGCAGCATCTGTTAACCTCCTCTCTCTGTTTCCAGACAGTTTGGGAGTTTGTTTAGTTTTCTGATAGACTTTGTTTATGAACTTTTCACCAGCCAAAATAAAGGCTCACTTTTGATTCTGCACTAGATCCATGAGCCTTCTCCATCTTTTATTTCTGAGCTTCATATTCACCACCTGTTGTCCAGAGCATCAACTACTGGTTCGAACCATCTCAACCCTGCCTCTTTAAGTCACCAAGTCCAAAGGGCTCAACCTGAGCTCCCTCTCTGATCTACGCATGTCTAATCTTCTCCTGTCTTTTTTTTGTCAGTGCCGCCGTCAACAAACCATACAGCGTGGTAGGTCTCACTACCATCTTGTAAATATTCCCTTTCACTCATGCTGTTCTCTTTTTGTCACAAATCATCCCTGACGCTCATCTCTACCCTGTCTGAAGAGTGATATTTTCTAGCAGAAACACTGTCTGGTGTCATCTTAAACTCTCCTCACATGTAAAATGAAATCCACTCAGCTTTTTTTTTTAATCATTACTTTACATGGTTCTAAAATTGTGTTACTATCTCACTATGCCTCTACCTCTCTCTCTTCAAAGACTCACATTTACCAGTTAGCAAAATATCAAATGAAATTTGGTATTTATTTTAAATTCCTAGTCCTGCTTTCCTCTGAGGCCAAAAAAAGAGTTGTTCCCAGGGCTTTTATGTCTGTGCTGGATTATGTTGACGTTATTCGTCTGCAGGCATCCTCGCAGTGTTTACACAAGCTTGATGGATTCATCACAAAACTCAAAACTCTTGCTGTTGCACATTGTATGCTTGAAGTGGATGAACTGTTTTGTCCTCTTGTAAACTCATGAACAAGAACATTTGGTTTTGCAGAGCCTACAGAGTTATATTCTTCAAAAAAGTATACAAAAAATATGTTTTTGGTCTTATGGATGAATTACAGAAACGAAGGGGACTTTTAAAGATGCTGCTTGGAATCAGTAGCAAAAATCTGTTCAATCTTAGTGAGTTGGTCTCACCAAATGACTAGAAGAAGCAGTCACATCTGTATGCATGACCCTTATTACCCCTGTTTTATGCTTAGTTGATGTTTCAAATCCATTTGCATACGTGTTTAATGTGAATACCTGTGTGCACACTGGATGTGTATTGCACATAATCCTGATTGAGCTGCTGCCTACAACTTAGTGAGTGCTCTTGCAAAGAAGATTCGATTAAAAATATAATCATAAATGATAGTAACAATGAAAATGGCACCAAAATCAGTTTCACTGAACTGTGAATATTTGGGCCTCAAATGGATTTGTGATTATAATATATGAATATGTAAGCGTGTTAGCGATAAAGCTTCAGGTCAGGGAGAATTTGCAGAGGTAAGAAAATGGGAGAAGCTCCTGGAGGAGCATCCTTACTTTTTTGCCAAGATTTTAGGTCACAACATCAGAACAGAGTTAGGCCAAGAAAAGAGTTTTAGAAAGGAATACGCTGTGTATAAATAGGTATACGGCACAAAGGTACAACGCTAGAAATCTCATTGGTATTCCATACAGGTTCAGTAAAGGTTTGAAATACTTTTTAGACTCTTTCTGCTCTACAGTAACAAAGCTAAGTAACTCAATAACCTCAATCTCTTCCATGCACCCACACTGGTAGACACACATGAACGACAACGCAGGAATCCCGACTCTCCTTCCTTTTCTAATGGAGCAGCCACCCAGTGCGTCAGTAACCTGATTACCCCAGCTGTCAGTCTGAATAAGGCCAGGCTTCGGGATCCTCCCGTCGTCTGATCCTCACTACAGGATAGAAGCAGTCCTCCTTGAGATTTTGGAGCAGAGCAGGACGGACACAATCACAGGGAAGGGGAAAGAACTGGTAGGACCAGAAAAAGCCAGCAGGTAAGATGCAGTAGTTAAAACTTTGATTCTGGCTTCTTTGGTTCTGGTGAGTCTAAGTTTCTTAAATATTTGGGAGTAGATTATATCTTAAGGTAGACACATTTTCCTGTATGTTTTATATTTACAGTATAAACACATGTGCTTCTTGCTCTATCTAAACCTGAGTTAACCTTCCAGATTTCTTTGGGAGTATTCGCTTTTAGGCTTTGCATAACTAAATAAATGACTTGAACTGATGATAAAAACTGAATTTTTTTTTTTTTTAAAAAGGCTGCATGTGTGGATAAAAGCAAGTGTAGGAGTATCAAAGTGAGCAGCCAGTTAGTAAGGGGAGGGCTACAGGATACAACTAGTGGGTGGACCTTGATTATTGTTTCCGTGCACAACAAGTCTCTCATTTGTGCCGTCTTTACCTCAAAACAGGAGAACTTTGAATGACTTTGAATAAGCTGCTGCGCAGAAAGATTAACTGATCCTTCAACATCTATATTTTATTAATCTGCATCTTCCAGTACATCTGTTGGCTTTCCACAACTACAAGCTTAAAAACTCCACAAAGACTTTGGATCACTCTCTGGACTGACTGAACAAGTTAGAGTACGGCAGAAAAACAGTGAAGGCACTGAGCTGCACTTGGCAGCTCCAAAAGCAATGGCAGAGTGCACACCGGATGTAAACCCCACCAACGTGATCCAGAATCCAGAGGCTGACATAAAGGAGCTGAGTGAGGTTTCGGCTGAGTCTGCATCAGCGGGAGCAGCCAAAGTCAGACCTGCAGACGCGGGGCTGATTCGAAGTTTGTCCAAGTCAGACTCTGATTTGTTGGCATCGCCACTTGGAGAGGAGGATGGAGGTCTGGTTGGCCGAAGTGGGTCTGTGTCTAACTGCAGCTCTGGGCAGCCATCCATGGAGCGCATGCCTTCCTTTGCCTCTGAGTGGGATGAGGTAATACTCAAGTTCTAAGGATGGGGGGAAAGTGGGAGGGTGTAGAGGACAGAGGGAGTGGTACTGTCACTATTCAGGCATGGACAGGCTTTCGAGTGGAGCGTGTTAATGTCTTTAAGAGAGAGTGTGTTAGCAAGTGTGAATGTGTGAGGGGGAAAACAGAAAACCAATAAGAGAAGTAACTCTGGATTAGTGTGAAAAAAGACAAATGAGAACGGGCGAGGCAGTGCATTTCATGGTAGAGGAAGGAAGGAAGGAAGGAAGGAAGGGAGAGGGGGAGAGCGGAGGCAGCGCAACGAGAGCGATCAGGAGTCCAGCAGAAGCAGTGATAGAGTAACTTTACCCAGGCTGTTGGCGGAGAATGCCTGCGGGCGAGTGCTTGAATGCATGAATGGCTTGATCACTTGCACCGACCTCCCTGTAGCAGCCCTGGCATCCAAGACTAATTGGGCTTGTGCTGTCATTCCATATCCACTCAGTACATGTCTCAAGGGCCGACCCACGCTTCCACTGTATCCGGCTCTCTTCTGGCTCCTTTTCTACGTCTTGCGCCATCTACTTTCAGCCCAATGTGAATGGTCCTCCACCCCCCATTATCCCCAAAAGCCTTAACTTGTGATTTCTGAGCACTTTGGAGCATCAATGCAGTACACCCTAAAGCACTGCAAAAACCATGGAATGAATAATCATTTCTTAGCAGAACTTAAATGGTTGGAGACAACGAAGACAATGGCTGACGACTGATAATATATTATTAAATTATACAGCTTAGAGGCAGAGCAGTACAATTTTTTAAAATGTCCACAGCAAAGTAGAACATATCTGACGCTTCATGCCTGGTGATTATTCCCCATCACAATAATAACGTGAAGGATTTTAATCAGATTATCAGATTAAGTTTTGGCATAGTGCCATATGTCATCAAACCCAGCTGATATCTTGGCTAGCAAATGGTTTAAGTCGAACTGAAATGGCTCTTAAGAAAAGGCTTTAGTTGTCTGCAATTTATTTGGGGCACTCAGTTCTTCCTGCTTGCATGAATTCTTTGCTATCAGTGCTTAAGCAAAAGCTATTGGCTCCACTGATAATTACAACTTGACCGACTAGTTTCTTAAAAATCAATCTTTTTTTGCAAAAAAGAAGAGAAACTACTACATTTGGGCAGCCAAATGAGCAATACGAAACCCTTTATTTTGTGGATACTCTTTCATTACATCCACTAAGACTTTATATAAAAGATGGATCTAAAAAGTCACTGTAATGCAAATGTGCATTCCTTAATGTCCAGCAGGGAAGAATGGTTGCAAAACAAGGTCACATTATACACATGTCTTTGAGGAAACGCTGCTTCTGCTCTTTTACTCAATTTTATTGAATGTTACAATCTCATTTGCTAGCTTCAAGTGTTATTGAATACGTCATCATGCTCAAGTTGTAACTTGTGGGTCCAAAAAGAAGGTAAAGCAGGATATAGTATCCTGTAACTGTTAGATCTCGCTTGTTACATCCAGTTTAAAGCCCATAGATCAGCTAATGTTTCACAACAGGACTTCACTTAACATTGGGTCACATTGTGCTCGCTACATCTATCTTTTATATTCAGTCTGTCATCCATTATTTTTGGTTAGGTTGGGACTATTTCAAAGTCCAGCATCTGAAGACACTGCTGTCAGGTTACAGTTATCCAAAAAGAAAGTTTTCCTCACATTCTGCTCTCTGTGATTGTAAACCAATGCCTGTGATTCTTGTTTTCCATATATTATCAGTTGTAAGTAAATCTAACACAAAACAAAGTAAAATTCATTTTTAAGATTTTAGAATTTGTAACGTGCACCAGAAGGACAGCACTTTTTAGTTTCTTTTAGATTTCACTGATTTCATAATTTTATATATCTAATTATTTAAGATTGCACATTCAAAGAAGACTTATGTTTGTATGTATGACTTTTAAATGACAATTAAACACAAAATGCCTTCCCTTGATGTCAATGATGGCCCTACAGGCTCCAGAAATCACGACTGCTTCCTAAAAGTTTAAAAGCCTTTACTGTTATTTTAAGTGTATGTATACTGACTGCACTGGAAAGTGCCATATGCCTGTTGGGGAAATCAGTTTTCTTTTCATTTTTTCTTCTATATTTGTAATTAATTTACAGCATTTTAAGCTTTTCTTAAAGAATGCTCAGAGTGAGTTATTACAGTAAACGTTGCCTAAATCTGTCTCAGTGTGACCATCAGTAAGACAGCTGACTTGTTTGTCCTTTTCTTGACTCAGTTTCGAGCCTGTTTGGACTTGATTCAATTTTAAAAGATTTATCTTAAACTAATCTTGCCTCATGTTTTAATGAAAGCATTTTAAAAAAAATATGTTCACATTAAAAATGTATGGTTTGTACCATATGTTACAACAAGGGCTGCAACGAAGCAGTTTAGGGGTCCGAGACATCTTTAACTTGGATCTCTCTCTTTGTCAGCCCTGCATGCCCTGTGCCTGTTCTCCACTCCACCCCTGTTCTCTGACAGGCCTGTTTACCCAGGCTATGTTGGGTGGGGTGTCCTGTTCTCAAGGGCATCCTGTTTTGCAGCTGTCCTGGAGTGTCTGTTTCTCTTCCACATGTCAAGGGATTTGTTTGGGTTGGGGATATGGGTGTGGGTGAGGCTCAGGGCAAAAGTTAAATCAGTTTGTGCATACATGTGTTTATATACACTATGTGTATATATACAATAGCACCAACACTTAGGGAGACTTACACCACATTTTTATTGCATTAGCAAATAAAAAACAGCTATCAAAGGCATTACATTAAGCACAAAATGTTTGTT